TACAGAAAACTGACTGGAAGAAGAAGGCATGGTGCGTAACAAGCGTTAACGAGAGAGGGTATCAAATACGTATGCGCGCAATCACCACATACGTGGGCAAAGACGAACACGATCGCCAACGAGTAACAGCGATCTAACCCTGTATTTGGAGCAAGGTAATATAGAGTAAAACTCTAAATGAAGTAAAACTATCCCTTGAAAAATCAAGAGGTAAAAACGAAAAGCCCGAAACTGTTAAGGATGACATACATCAAATAAAACTTAATAACGAACGCACAGCGGAATTGCACCACTTCTAAGAGATAAATCAATATAAAAGGATGAAAACTGACTAGTTTACGAAAACAAAACGCTATGTCATTTCAAAGAGGATGAGTGTGATTTAACAACGATTTAGTTTGAACGTATCACTTCTTTTTCCGCTCTCTCACTGAGTTCGATGTTGATGCAGTTGAATTCTGAAGAACAGAATAATAAAGTAGAGCGTTGTTACGGAATAACCCTAGCCTTTCCGAAATATCACACAAATAGCAATTTTAGAAGATCACAACAGGCAAAAGAGTGATGAGGCGGAGACAGTGCAAGGGCGGGTGACACGCTTACAATGCGGACGGTCCGGATGCCAGGTTCCGGAGCGGCTTCCGCTGATTCCAAGCAAGCCTTCTACGCCCCGGGAATGGCCAATTGGTACCAGATTCGTCTGTGAGGATAAGCACACCCACTTGTACATCGGGTGGCCCAGCAAGCTATTGTATAAGCCATATCCTATTTAATAAGCCACCGCCATTCTAAATGGAAGTAGAATGCGCGCTTGTGAATGAAATGGGCGCTTCTACCGCAACAAAGCTCTTGCGAAAGTGTATCCACCGCCAAGAAAATTTGGTAATGGATTGTGAACAAGTGTGTCTTGTACTCCCACAGCAGGATGGCTTGAGAACTGACTTGCGTATATCGATGGGAAGCAACAAGGGTGTGAATCGTCTTGCGTCTACGGCTCGATTACTTTTTTTCTAGCACAACCTCGGGACGGGAAATTTCCCATGGATAAACAGAGTAGTAACAGGTATTATTGGTAATGACCTTTTCTTCAACACATACAATACCCCACCACATGTAACTAAGAACTGTTATTCCATTCATCATGGAATTTCTCGGACGGGAGCAAATACACCACCATTCGTTTCTGTTCCTGAGTAGGCCAGCGGTTTCTTTCAGCTAGAAGAATTCGGAGCATTCTCTCGCAAATAAGTCTGAGCATCGAGCTAGCAATCATTCCGATGTTCGTTGGCGTTTTGTAAAACACATTCGGTAATCGCTCAGGGCTAACGGTCACAAAAGAATCGCATGAAGTGTCAATCCAATCATCCGCTTCCTCAGCAAATACTGCTGTTTCCCTCCCTCGGCTGCTAAGGAAACTTCGGATTCCCTTTGCATTTGCATGTCTCGGGAACCCTGAGCTACATTTTCTCAGAAGCGCGCTAGATAACGCTGCCACACACTCACTCTATTGTGCAGCATCTAGGCTTTTGATGGGTACTTTTCAGCAAGGAGTAATGTGGGATCGAAGAGCTGGACGGGTGTGAGGGAAGGGAAGCGGATCTGCGTTCTCAAACTAACTAGTCTATGATCTTGAATACTTCACATGCAGTACAATACGATAGTAGCTCCGTTGCCAAACTCAAGCACTCTTTTACTGAGCATTGTTAGTTTTTTCGGTCAACAATGCTAGTCATAGCAGTCTCGGAGCGCTAATCAAGACCTAGGTGGTGAAAAAAGAGAAATAAATGAGTCAGACCTACGCCGTACAGCCGATACCGCCTCATTTAGTCAGCGTGATATCAAGGGATTTTTTTTCAACTTTTCATCATTTCGTGGAACCAATCATATTGTCATTATGAATAAAAACATGCTAGTTTTGGCTCATTCCCCCTGAATTCCAGAACATTAACAACAATAAAAACATAACGCATGAAGAAAATGGATGCCAAAAATGTTGCATAGGACTAAGGGGAGACACGCCACTTCTTGTTTTTCCTTCAAGAAGACGGCATTTCATGCAGTAGGCTACGAATAAGCGACCGCGAGCCATGGAGATGAGGATAACGGATTTTTGCCGGACTATAAGCGTGAGGGAAGAACCTACGCGATGGGTGGACCAACTTGAATAAGTGGTTTGACCATAACTAGGATCAATTTGTTAGCTTTACAGGGGTCTACAAAATGCCTGCGTCACCAGTCTGGGCCAGAAATCTACGAGCAATGTAACACTGAAAACTGAAAAAAATGAGAATGGAACTCGTAGAACTGAAAGCAGTTGTAAAATCAAGCGAAAACTCAATAATCGAGTAATTTTGACCGCAAAACATACAGAATGGGAAATTCAAGTTTATAAAATATAGAAAAAAAACTTACGGTAAGTTTATCGCTGAGTTGAATGGCACCGCCCAGGGCACCCAGTTGACCAGCATTCGGCGAAATGAAGTTAGTCCACAAGAAGGTGACAGCATCATCAACCTAAATTGAGTCGGCGTATTGAAGAGGAAATATCAAGGCAAATAACCTAAACCAATACAAATATAAACACCATACAAAAAAGACTCACCCAACCACTTGCTTCGCGCAACGTACCGGAATACCTTGCATATGCCCAAACCGTAAGTGCGCCAATAACAATCACCAATATGGAGGAGAAGATCCCTACAAATGCAGTAATACAGCCCCTTCTCTGAACTCATCCAATTTAGCGAGCAACTCACCTGCGAACATATTGAGTCCAATCATTTGACAGAACTCTTGACATATATAATCGATAATCATCAACGTGACGAGAACAGCTGGTGTGCGCATAGACTTGAACAAGTTCTTTCCATTGTTCATCTTCAGATAAGACTCATAGCTATCCTGAACCAAAAATCGTCTATTCACACAGGTATACTAACTAGTATCAATTCATCTTGTCAAGCACCCAATTTTGCATTTTGTCAATTTTTCAGTTCTTCAAGATACGGTTATAATCCTTTTCGCCAATTCTTCTATTCTATGATTTTTTCGTCAATTCTTGCTGTCGAAGGATACACTTGAAATCCCTAGTATGCGGTAGACGTGGCCGTGGGCTTCAACTGAACGTGGTGGTGACTGGGCTGTCGGTAATATTTCCAGTTTGACTACTACGTCCATTGCGTTCTAACACAGCACATTATGGGGCGGGAAGGGGGGGGGGGAGGCAGCATTTTGCTACTTCCCATGGATGTGTTGGATAATGGAGGTTTACAGGTTTACATGTAACCGTATTGCTGACCGACTGAGCTAACTTCCTGTGCAACTGATGGGATCTGGGATTATGAATTTCAATACAAGCAAATTAACACCAATGTGGCTTCTCTTCTACACCGCCCCTACTTGATAATGAATCAGCTGGCGTCCTTTTCAACACTGCGCTACCACGAATGTGTAACATGGCGGTCTTTTAGAAAGCAGACTATTCATAGGATGTCCGGAACTGGAGCGACCCAACGATTAGATCCGATGCCTGCTTGCTTTGTTTCTACTCGAAACAAACAAAAGTTTCGATCTCTTCAAACTCTTCGGAGCCTGCACTTTTCCCAGACTCACATAGAAAGAAATTGGATACTTGAGATGACGCGTCTTATATCTCCGTCATGTCGTGTCTCCTACAAAGTCTACCCAGAAAAAACTCCACCCGCTCGAGTAATGCATACCTGCTTCTTTCAGGTCTATCAGTAATAGGCTAATCAAAAGATAAACACAGTGCAAGCTAAGTCACACAATTCGATAGACAAACAGACCAAATTCCTCGCTTACAAGACAAACAGTGAAGCGGAGGTAATGCAGTAATGTGCTGTAGTGATTTGCTAAGCGCATGTACCAAGGGTCAAAGCCTTCACCCAAATGCAGCCAATTAAACCTTTCATCCTTTCGGGGTTACAGGTACCAGAAACCCGCCTAGGACTACTACAAACTGAATAGGCTAAATAGTTCTTCAGCCGTCACTGTCCTCAATTTATCAAGTAGAGGCATGCCTCACAGGAGGATCCCGTAATCCCCATAAATGTATTCCGCAAGAGGTCACCAGCGCCGTAGGCTTTATTTGAGGCTAGTTGTGCTATGTGTGGTAAAGTTCTTTTGATAAACACTTCCCCAACTCTCATGCACACCGTACTACACTGAATAAACAAAGAGGTGCAACACGATAACACCACTAAAGAGCTGTCTCAAAAAATAGCTACATCAGAGAAAAAGGAAGTCTTGCAAAGCGGGTCTAATACCGGAAATCTGAAATTCCACTTAGAACTCGGTAACCTTCTAGGTGCAACGATTTACTCGAAGTTCCTTTTACCTTTTTCTTTTAGGAAACACCATTCAAATGGACAAAGTCCCCACTTACCTCGATTTCTTCCTCGAGTTTCGCTAAAAACTGTACACTGTACTCCGCTCCACCCATCTTACGGGCATTACGAAATTCTCGAATAGCATCATTCTAAATAACGAACAATAGTGTTGCCAGTTTACAAAAGTAAAAATATAGAACGCACTTTGCACATTTGATGCTGTTCAAGTAGTTCATTGGTGCTCATATATGGGGTGTCACCACCACAGATCTGAAAGATAATTCACTGTAAGGTGCAAAGGTGGATAAGAGAGGACTCACCTCCTCCATTTCTCTCTGATAAAGAGCTCGAGCACTGGCAACAGCAGCCAGGTTGTTCGCCTCAGCAGTTGCCTGTAAAATGCTCTTTTCACTAGGAAGATGACGGAATGTTTAACAGAAATATTAGGCATGAAGTGAATATTCCAAAGCGTTGGGAGAAATTGGAAAACGCTTCACGTTTGTTCAGGAGTGCGTAAACTGCTGCAAAAGATTTTTTTTGCGCAGCTTACATTCTTCGACACCACACCCCACTGCACTTCAAAGAATGAGGAGGAAAATGCGCGGAACTTCTTTTTGGCAGCCCCACGTATCATCATCATCTCATCTATATCATCACCATCATCTATCATCGATCATCTATACTGCGCTAATATAATTATCAAGGCCTCAACCTACGCTTCACACTAACAGGGCACATTGTACGTTGTGGAATCCCCATGCGGGAGTAGGGTCGTATTTAGTCGCTGACGAGAGGGATGGGTCGTAAATGGGATGAGAAAATTTTTTATGATAATGATTATTCGGTTTCACGCACATCGCTGGGGAAGTTCTAGTAAGGGGTCGTATATGCCCATTCTCGAGGTGAGGGGGGGGGGTTAATCGTAAAGCTCGACGTTCTTCGGCGTCCCCACTTAACAGGTGGCATTTCAGAACTACTGCAGCTATTTCCGATATTATTTATTTTGTGTTGTCTGGTGACGGCCCTCTCTCTTTACGCTCGATAGCAAACTTCGCGGAAAAATTGGAAATTGTTTGGAAGTGCCGAAAAATGCGGTAGGAGGCTGGGAGAACTTGGCAAGATAGTAGGAAGGATGGGCAATGGCGAGGGGGGAGGGGTTGTAGCAGAGGCGGAAACTCGGAGGGTCGTATTTTATTTTCACCAGCGGTGGCACGTGCCCAGTTCACTAGACGTGCTCAGGATGCTTTGAAGTGTGCAAGACATTTTTAAATCCTTAATCTTCGCCAATTGTCCCCGGTTTTATAATCGAATTCAGAAATGACAAGAAATTTTGAAAACAATGAAATCAGGAAACGGCATATAACCAACCATCAGCATGGATTTTGGCTCGGGTAGATCTTGACCTTGGAATATCTTCATGTATGCCTGAAGTGTAAGACTAGATCTCTTTTCTTTGGGCTGTGACTGTAAGTACAGCCCCCGGGGCAAAGCAGACTTGTAATTACCTTGAAATATTCAACGAGCTCCCTACACGTCACTTTATGTCCATTAATATCCTTAGTTGCCAAGTTGGATGAATCAAGTATGCGTGGAATCATCACGCGTAACTGTTGTTGGAACTCGGGCTCGATATCTTTAATAGTGACAATGAAATCTTTCGAAAAAAAAATTAGGAAAAAAAACTAACCTGCTAAAGAACCGTTGAAGTCTGGATTTGTAGCTACCTTAATGCCAGGATATGGCATTAGGAAACATGTAATGCTATCAAAGCAACTACGAATATGTTTTCGCAGTTGCTGCAGCTCAGGATGCTGTTTCGCTGAGACCTAGATCTCAGTGGTTGTAGTTAACATAAAAACATGGCTTTATAAAGTATGATAAGTACCTGCAACCGATCGTCGAGAATACGTTGTCCTCCTTGATAACCGAACTCCGCTTCATATGGGAAAGACCAGTCACGAACGAGGAATTGCAAAGACTGGAATACATTACAATTACTAATGAATGTGGTATGTGGCTACACAAAAAGGCGAAGATACCTTGTAGGGGGAAGGGTACACTATCAGTTCAAATCTATATAGAAAGTCCTAAACTCTAGGATGCTATGCAATGGCGTCCAGCAAAGCTTACAGCTTGCCTAAGTAATCCAAAAATAAACCACAAGAAAGAACTACCGGAGATAATTTCCTATACAAGGCTCCTGTCAAAAAAGCACTTCTAGTGTAAAAGAGCGGCTTTTCACGGGGGCGTGTGCGCTATTCTTCAAAATATGTGAAAGAATTTAGCTTCGCGGTTCATTGCCTGTATCAGCTAACCAGCTGATCACGTTGAACATGTGGTGTAAGGCCTGAAGCCATTGAGCTGAGATAGTAAGAGGGGCTCCGGTAGCTCAATGGATAACGCAACCGCCCGGCAAGCGGGATGAGTCCCGTCTGCTTTTGTCTGCTTTTGCCCATAACTCAGCACTCTGGCGATAACAGAACAGCAGTTCGGAAGTGGAGCGGGAGATGTTCCTAGTTGCTTGCATACAATACTGACCCAATTTCGGATTGCTCGCGCTTCATCAGGGTTCAGCAGCAGCTCATAGGTCGCAGGCGAGAACGACTTTACTGATCTCCCTATGCCTTTACTGATTTTGTGCCCGACAGAATAGCACCCGTCAAACTTGTGGTATATTATGTGCTCCGGCTGAAAGAACGAGGCCTGTCGAACGAGGTATCAGACAGCCTTGCTCGCCAAAGCCTTCCAGAAAAGCGTTGAAGTTTTGTGACAAAATATCCCTGAAGCACCTTCGAGCTACGATCGACTACTCTGCTCATACCATTTGAATGCCTGCCTTCGAACTTACTACGTACTTTTGTTTTTTATAGAAGATTAGTGAGGAGCTACTGGTAAAAAAACAGTTCTCAGTTCATTCACTTCTTTTTTACGACGGTAGATTACTGCACATTAGTACAGCAGATAATAACCTCCTCAACTCGATAACTCCAGTGCTGTCGTCAACCAGACATGATCATTCTTCTCAATTGATGTCGGTAATTTTTCTCAACGCTGTCCTCATTAAATAGTGACATCGCCCTCCCCCGCCTTCTCCTACGCCATAGCGATTCTATGTAAAAAAAAGTAACAACAAGGCTATGAACAAATAACTGAATCAAAATCAGATCCTCCTTACATTATCAGACCACAACCCAGAAACTCATGAATCGTGGATGAAAGCAGGAAAATGCTCAACGCGACATCTTCACCGATCCCGCCAAATTCGACATTCAACCCCTTCCCATATATGTTCTGGGAAACTGGCGAAACAGAAACAATAAAGTGTCAGCATTAGTTACCATCAAGGGCATGAGAGATTATTCTACTGTAATATGCGTAGGAGTGACCATGAAGAAAAACCCCTCTTACATGAATACAACAAACAAGGTGTGACATTCCTTCCAGCCAATCCATCTCCTCTAGTGTAATATTTAATTGTAATCTGAAGTTTTTGAAGCTGTTTCGTTATGACTGCTGTTTAACGCCGCAGTTCGCGTTCCGAATGTTATCACAAGAATGCTGAGTTATGGGCAAAAGTCGTGCCCCAGGCGGGAGTCGAACCCGCACCTCACGCTTTCCGGGCGAGTGCGCTATCCGTTACGCGTAACGGATAGCGCACTCGCCCGGAAAGCGTGAGGTGCGGGTTCGACTCCCGCCTGGGGCACGACTTTTGCCCATAACTCAGCATTCTTGTAATCTGGAGGTCATGCGCCTGCACCGAATTGAACTTCTGATATCAAAAGAGGACAGCTTACCTGAAAGGGTTTATTATCGTTTTCCTCCATGGCTAATCGTCCATACTCGGTGAACATTTGTAAGTGTTGCAAGTGATCTTCTTGAATGTTATGTAGCAAGTTGTATATCTGAAAAATGGTCACCTCTAACAAATTTTCGCTTTGAAATCTATTATCTAAATTGGAAAGAACTGCTTGATCTAATATAGACAGCAAAACGGAATCGAAAAAGCACAGCTAAATTCTTAGTGACGTCTTAACCTACTGCAACAAGCCGTGAATCAGATACCGGGCAATAAGTGGTTAGGCAGCGTTCATACTTCGCGACAGCAGCGGCGATCGCCGCGATCGTCGGTACGTGGCAGAGCGCGCCCCAACGCTATTATGGACCGCTCGCTTGATAAATAAGGGAATCCAACTTGTGAGACCTTTTCTCTTAATAATGGCTACTAACTGATAACTTACGACTTTCTATACATAAGCGGATCTGGAATATGAGGTAAGGAGGTTTCACTTCTTTTTAGGTCGGGATAAGGCCAACTCCATTTCCTGGGTGAGCTTCTTTTTGTTTCTTTTGTTTTTATTGTTTCAATTTATACAAGCGCCTTAAAAGTTCCTATCGTCTGAACTGTTCCAACTTCCAAAACATTTATAGTTTACAAGTCGAGTTCAAACAACGAAGAAAAAAAAGAAACAGAAAGAAACTCACCTAGGAACCAAAACACTAATCATTTTACGCAACATCAACAGGTGAAAACTTTATAACCTCATGTATAAGCTCGACGAATGAAAAAAGAAACAATAAAAACCTACCCTAAATGAAGCTCTCACGCTTTTTGCTCATTTCTATCCTGAATCAAGAAAGAAAATAGAAAACAAAAGCCATTAAGTTGGGTTCACCTTTCTTTGTGTCAAACCAAGCTTCAGTACCTAAGAAAATTGCAGTTAAAGGAAAAAAAAGCATGCAATTGAGTCGCTTCTTCCCTAAACCTTCGAGCAGTCCAAGTAATAGCGTTGGGGCGCGCTCTGCCATGTACCGACGATCGCGGCGATCGCCGCTACTGTCGCGAAGTATGGACGCAGCCTTACATTCAAAACCTATTTATGCCCGACTTGGAAACACGTTTGTTAAACGATTATTAAACCATTATCAGATCATTTTAGGAGAGTACGTAGTTTGCGGTAAGCAACATGTAGTAAAAAGCATTTTTTCTGTGAAAACAGCACCTGTATTGAAGAAACCATGGTAGAAAGCGCAAAAATGGTAGCACAATCCTTGACGGTACTCTGCGAGTCAAATGTACCTTGTGTATCCATAAGGATGACAGCAATCTGAAAACAGAACCTTTTCTGCGCTGTATCACAAAATCTTCACCTCGAATCGTTACACTACAAACAAATACCAATCATATCGACTGCTCAGTGACTTCACTGAGAAATGAGACTGGTGAAGACAACCTGTGAACACAAGAGCCAACATAAAAGAATGTACCTCTTCTCCATTTTTATCTTTCATTATGAAAGGCTGACTCCAAATGAGGATTCCATTTGTATCTCGCTTGCTACCACCACGCCAAGAAAAACCTTTTAGTGATTCTGGATGGGTACCAAGCCAATCCATACCACTAAAACCATCATCATCTGAAAAGCAAACTTGTTTTTCGGCATTTTGCTCATATTCCACTTGGAGTATCTACATTTTTTAAATCAGCATAAATTTGTAGTCCATGCCTATTCAAGCTAGTGAGTCCTATCAAGACTAAGCAGGAACCAAGGAACCACTCCTTTCAAAATCCAGTCTCATGAACGCTGTTCTGTAGCGTTTGTCAGGAACACAGAGTCGCCAGACACTAAGGAACCGTCTCACAAAATGAGTGTTACCAGTACCACTTTTGTTAACTGCAGGTGAATGGGCGTACCAGGGAACAACTTTGGCGCGGCGCTAAACCCATCCTATCTGACACGCCCCTTCACACGCAGTAGAGTGTACAGTACACTCAAATACGCTCACAAATGATGTTATCTACAAGTGAACGCCTCAGCAGTGTATTTAGTTGTATAGACTTTGAAAGTTGTTGAGGAACACTTTGCTTGTTGAACTCGGTAGAGAAGGCTTTTGCAACGATATTTAATTTAAGGGAAGTGAGCCGCTAAAGTCTTCGACCAAGCACTTAAAAGGCGACAAAGACTGCCAATTCCCTGTAATATTTTGACCAAATGAAACTACTATTCAAATGACTTAATTGGCACGAACACTGCTCAGTCACATCCAGAGCTTCTCACAAAATCGCGCATTCTTACATTGTGAGATTGTCACAGGCACGTGCCAGATAGGTGGTTCACCGCTGCCTATCGGGTTCCTGAGATTTTCGCTGCAGAACAGACTAGAAGGAACGCAGAATAAACTAAAAGGAATAATCAGTAGAATCAAGGTCACGGAATTATGGACCGAATGTCCTTTACCCGAACGAAAGGGACACCCCTTCGAGTCTCAATGTGGATTTCGTCTAGTGCAAAGGCGGACGGTTTTACTGAAGCAATCCTTCAACAGTCCGCCTTTGCACTAAACGAAATCCACGAATCTCTTGAGATGCTCTCATACTTCGCGATATCGCTCTGATCGTACGATTGCGAAGCATAGTGAATTATGAAATGAGATCGCAATCCTCGGCTGGAAATGCCGCAAAGCATGCGGCTTCGATAAAC